CCCTGAAACCCTAAACCCTACAGCCTTGAAGCCCTAACGCCCCAAGAGCAAAAAGGCTTGCCAGCCTATGGGCCGCCGATGCAAAGCATCCGGCGCAGCTCCCAGCACTGACACTGGGTTTAGCGTTTTAGGGTTTAAAGTGTGGGGTTTAGGGTTTAGCGCTTTAGGGCTTAAGGTTTAGGGTTTAAGGTTTAGGGTTTAGGGCTTTAGGGTTTAAGGTTTGGGGTTTAAGGTTTAGGGTTTGGGGTTTAGCGTTTTAAGGTTTAAGGTTTAGGGTTTAGGGTTTAAGGTTTAGGGTTTAGGGTTTAGGGATTAGAGTTTAGGGTTTAAGGTTTAGGGTGGGTTCGGCTTCGTCGGAATTTGTAAAGGCTCTTTTCCGGGTTCTGTTAAGGGTTTCGAGAAGGGGCATAGATTAGGGCTTTGTCGCAGGGCCACGGGAAAGATCCCAAAGAACCCAGTACTGTATCCTACTGCCATATGCGGCAAGATAAACCCAGAGGCCCCATATATAGTACCATTATGGAATTTGGTCCCTAAAACATTAAAAAAAATAGTCTTTTGGAGCCTAACTCCATATTGGTACTATATGTGGAGCCTCTGGGAAAGCCTTTTAAAGGGATCCAGCTTGAGGATCCTGCACAATGTCTGGCAGGGTGTTCCCTAAACCCTAAACCCTAAACCCTTGAGTCTCGGCTTTAGGGTTCCAGGACCCTTTTCGTAACCCTTCGATAAGGATTGAGTTTCGGGTTTAGGGTTTCGGGTTTCGGGTTTAGGGTTTCGGGAACATTAGGGCTTCGTGCTCCAAAGTGGTCCTGGTTACAAGGTTCTTGCTATCTAAGGTTTGTATGTTGGGCAAACCCTAAACCCTAAACCCTAGAGAGACGCTGTAGAGCGGACATCAAAAGGGCCCTCGAAAAAAAACCTAAACCCTAAACCCTAAACCCTGAAACTCTCATGTGATACGGGGTCAGGCGAGGTATCCTGCCGGGCCTTTTAGGGTGTCGGCTTGGGTTTAGGGTTTAGGGTTCAGCGTCAGACTTGTAAGGAACACTGGTGACGGGATTCTGTTCCCTAAACTCTAAGGACTTTCGGAGGGACCCCTAATGGGGACCCTTAATCCCATTACCTTAGATAACTATTGTATAGTCCTTATATGCTCCTTATATAGCCAGGTAGTCTCCATATTAACCCCAATAACCTACAAGGGTCCCTATTAAGGGTCCCTCCTAAAGCCCTCAGATAAAACCTAAAGCCTAAATCCTGGGGACAGAGCTTTCTGTTGAATCGATCGTGTGGGCCCTGTATCCAAAGCCTCACCCCTTAAGCCATAAACCGACGCCTCAAATTACAGAGTTTAGGGCTTGCGTTTAGGGTTTCGGGCTTAGGGCCTCAAATTACAGAGCTGTCCAGTGGGCGAAATACCAGGTGGCTGCTGTGAGTTTCCCCTTATCACGTAAAGGACCGGCCCATTCACAACAGTCTGAGACTGCCGAACACATTACGCCGCAGGATATGGTCTAATACAAAGAGTTTAAGGGTCGGGGGACTTAGTGAGTAGGTAATAAGTAGACTTATAAGCACACCAAAAAAGACCCTCATTGGGGTTATGATACTTCTGCGCCTATAAAATAGCTACTTACAAAGCCCCCCGACCCTCCAAGTATTGACACCCTAAGTTTCGGTTTCGAGTCCAACTTGGGTGCGTTGCGGTGCCCTAAAGGCCCCGATAAAGGTTCTTCAGGATTACCAATATCCGGACCGCAAAGGCCCTACCTAGGGTACTGCAGCCCCAAAAACTTCAACTGCAGGTTCAAATTTGGGGGCCCGGAGTTCTACCCCTCGAAAGTCACCGGAAAGGTTTAGGGTTGAGTTGTTTTGCATCAATTAACGTAGGCCATTGACCAAAACCATCCCCAGTATCCTAGTAAGGGGATAGCGTTCATGAATCAAAGGGTCTACGCGACAGTTGAAGGTCGACATTACCTTAAGACACAACCCTAAACCCTAAAACCTGAACCCTAAACCCTGCTTGTTGCCCTCTGGGGCTGAATAGATAACCTTTGACCTTTTGGGCCTCATATAACCCTACTATACCTGAAAAAGTTCACCCTTTTTGGGCCTTATTATTTTGTATAATCCCTACTAGAAATGAAAAAGTCAACCTTTTTTGGGCCTGATTAATATAACCCTGCCACAATTGAAAAGCTTCCACACTGAGCTTGAATCTTGCGCCGTTCCTCTTGGACAGATGCAACTCAGAGAAAAACTCTGAAACCGGATCAAGGACAATTAGTGCTGAGATTCCCGATGCATTACTCTTAAGGATAGAGGCTATTGGGTTTCCAACTTTTGGTCTTCTCCAATAGCTTAAATTACCACAATGGGGGTCTATGGGTAGCTTTCTAAAATAGGGTCCCTTTTAGGTCCTTCTCATAAGGGTGCCGTAATTTAGAGAAGCACCCATATAGTACATAATAGGGATTCCCTATCATAGTAACTTAGTTTAAGTTCCTCAACAGCAACCCAGTCAAGGTATCCAGAGCCGCATCCCATGATGCAGCGCTCAGGCGGGGTTACACTTCTCTGAGCTACTTCCGAAGCCTGTACAAGCAAGTTCTATAATGATTCTAGTACGGGTTAGTAGAATATACGTTACTATGCTGCGATAATGTGGTACTTCTGATTTTGGGGGCTTCCTTTTCTAGAATCCTCAGTAATACCCTTCTGCCTTTTTCTTTTCGGGCTTCCTTATCGAAACCAAACAGTAAGAAACAAAGGTTAATTGCGCGGATTATCAAGGGCCCACTGCGGAACCTACTAGAAGAACTTCGTTTTTTTCTGGCTTCCGTTGCTTCGTAGTAGAGTAGGTATCCCTTAGCCGTTTTGGGGTTCTACAATCCCCATGAAAGCCGAAAGATTAACCTTTGGGTGCCCATAGGATACTGGAGAACCAGGTTTATATGGAATGAAACTGGATTTCTCTGGCTTTGGCTATAGCACCAGAGAGGCTCTGGCTGACGATTCGGCTGAACTCTGAATCTTAATGCAAGCTGACTTGAATGTTCAGAGCTGTGTATGTGGGGGGGGGGGGGGGGGGGG